TTGCTAGGAGAGGAGTATAAGTAAAGGATTAAACAGCGATACAGATTTTAACAGGTCACCAGGATCAGGAGTGATACCAAGGTCTCAAAGCACAAACGACAGTATAAGATAGTCCCCCGTAGCTGAGGGGCGTACGAGAGAGTGCGAGTGAGCGCGGGAGGGGAGGGCGATTGCGGAGGGCAAGAGGGCGAGGGGGGCGCGAGAGGGAGAGGGGTGCAGGTGGCGCGAGGGAGGAGACGCTCTACGGAGAGGTGTGTGGCCGGGATGCGGCAGCGGCGGCGAGCCTGCGGCACCGACTCGGCGTACTCGCCGTTGGGCCCGTAGTACACCTTGTACACGCGGCCCGAGCTCGCCGTGCGCTCCTCCGCCCACCACCCCGTCGGCAGACCCGCTGCGGGAACGGTGCGGCTCGACGCGCCGCCGCCGCCAGCGGCGGCGGGCTTCGACTTTCCGCCCGCTTTGGAGCCCGCCTTGGCGGGCAGGTCGAAGTTGAACTTGCCATCGTCCGAGTCGTCAGAGTCGGTCGAGACCTCGTCAGTCGGGTCGGCGGCGGCAGGCGCGGCCGCCTTGGGCGCAAAGTGCTTGCGGAGGTCGGCGCTGGGCTTGCCGGTGTTCTTCGCTGGGGCCTCGTCATCGTCGGACGAGTCCGGCCCGCCGCGCGCAAACAGGCTCGCCGTCTTCTCGGGTGGCTTCCTCGACTTCGGGGCCATCGAGCTCACCGTGTGCTCTTCGCGGGCGGTGTTTGGAGGGAAGCGAGCTGGATTTCTTGTGGCTGTGTCGAGCCTGTGTGCTGTGAGAGAGAGTTGTTTTGTTTAAATTCTTGTGGCAGACGGTGAACGAGCTAGCGTGCGGGGACAGCGGCATTGTGCACGGTGCTAAGTGCATTGCCGTTCTTAACGGAGTCGCTTAGGCGGCTCCGGTGGTGTGCCTGTGATAGGACTAGCACGCGCCAGTTCGCACTTGTGTCGAGCCTGTCTGCTAAAGAAAGAAAGAAAGAAAACAGACAACCCAAGGGAGGGATGGGAGAACGGCACGCCGCCACCACACAGGGATTTTAAGGAGAGGAGTGTGATGCGCTAGCCTGTCTGCTGTGAGAGAGAGTTGTTTTGTTTAAATTCTTATCCGGACTCCAAGTACTGTCTCCAAGACCCACCGGCCAGAAAAAGTATGGCCTTCGGAGTGCTCTCTACTGCCGTGGCGCCCCTGTCGGTTCGGAGGCGCCCGGTGGCCGCGCGCTTGGTGACGACGTCGACCGGCTGCTCTCGCGGCGCCGAGACTTGCCGCTTTGGTCACGTCTCGCGCGCTGCGAGGTGTCTTTTGGCATGTGAGCGCTTTGTGGAGACGCCAGGAAGCTTGTCTTCCATGTCTGCGGCCGCGGGCGTGCGGGCTGGTCCGCCGGGGTGGGCGAAGCTCCGAGCGGGTCTTCGAGCTCGCCGCCCGCGACGAGCCAGCATGGCTCGTCGCTCGACGGGAGCCTGCCCAGTATGCTCTCGGCACTCTGTAGAGCCTCGACAAGCTCTCTCTGGGAAGGTCTACAGGGCCAGGGCGGGCCGCCTCGGGTGCGATGGCGCGCTGAATAGTACCCGAGGCACACGAGCTACGTGGAGGCGCAGGCGGGGGCGTCGGCCACCTGGAAGCGCGATTACGCGAACCGCCTCCTCGCCACCATCCCGTTCGGCTCGCCCGCACACTGGCACCGCACGTTCGCAGGGAGTGCGGCGCGGGCGGGCGGGGGGGCCCGGCCCGGCGCTGCTGAGCGGGCGGCACGTGCGGCGGCGCAGGAGGAGCGCAGGCGCGCTAAGGCGGCCGCGCAGGGGCGCAGGAGCGGCGGCAGGCCGAGACTGACGCGAGGCGCGGGCGGCCGGGCGGCACTTGTTTGGTGGTCCGGCTCGACACGCCGGCGAGCACGGCCAGCCGGTGCGCGATGTCGATGATGACGGACGTCATGGCGGACGGCATTTACAGCCAGCACGATCTGCCCTTTGACGCCCTCGGCGACGTGGCGCAGAACGACGGCGCGGCGGGCCACCAGACGCGGCACAAGGAGGTCCTCCTGGACCTTGTCGAGCTGCTGCGGGGCAAGCTGGGGCGCGGCGCGGGGTGGAGCACGAGTTTCACTGCGAGCACAGCACTACGAGGTCGGACTTGTACATTTACCAGGGCGTGATCTCGGGGACCTGCCCTGCATCGCGGCGACACGACAGCGAGAGACGACGCGCACGACGGGAGGTCCGTGGGGAGGTCGAGGAGAGGGCAGTGAGCGGCGGCGGCGGCGGCGGCGGCGAGGCTGCGCCGCGAGGCGGACATCGCGAAAAGATTTTTTATCGGCGCGAAAACTAGAAACGCGTTCATATATCTGTCTGCCAATACCCACACTGGTCAAACTATTAGCTTCATAATGAGGAAGGTGCTCATAGCGATTTCAAATAGTGCTACTATTAGCTCAGAGGGGCTAATAGCTGAGCTTCATAACGTCTGGAGCTATTAGAACACCACTATGAGATGGGCTAATAGCGACTATTAGGGCGCTATTAGGGCACTATGAGAGCCTAATAGTGGCCCTAATAGTGCCCTAATAGTGCGGTACCCGCGACGCGCACTACGCGCGGCGCGGCAAGAGCGATGGCGCCGACTCTCTAGGAGACGGGCTTCCATGAGGCAACCACGGCGAACGAGAAGGTCACCGTGGAGTCGTTGAACTTGACCGTGGTGACGTCAGGCTTGGTGGTGCTCTTCATCACCTTGACGCACCAGCCGCCGGCGGAGACGCCGGGCCACAGCGAGGGCGGCGCGAGCAGGAAGCTGGTCGTGCGGTCCGCACGAGCGCGGGTGTTGCCTGCGCAACAGGGGCACGGGGACGAGCGTCAGCCCGGCAGCTCGCGGCGGCGCGCGCGCGCGGCGACGGTGCGCACGGCTTGGGAGAGCAGGGAGAGAGAGAGATAAGGCCGCTGCCGCCGCAGAACGCAGGATGTGGCTGCGTGCGGGGCGCGGCGGGCGCGGGCGCGGGCGCGCTCGGACCTTGCAATTTCAAACTGCGCACGCCCTGATCACGAACAGGATGCGGGCGGCGCAGAGATCTGCTGCCGCCCGGACCGCCGCCCGGGGATGACCCAGGACCTCGCCGGCGCTGCGCCGGCGAGGGGCCGAAGCCCGGCGGTTGATCACGTTCTCCACACCCGCGCGCGCTGTGCGGTCGCCGTTCCGCCTCACATGCCTGCGGACAGCGCCGACGGGTGGTGAGGAGGGCGGAGAGCCGGCGGGCGCGGTGTGCGCGGTCGCCGCGCGCTGGTGGTGTGCGCGCGGTCGCCGCGCGCTGGTGGGCGACAGGTCACCGAGGCGAGCGGGGAGCGAGCGAGGAGCACATAGGCAGTGTGTGCTGTGCGCGACTCTCAGATCAAATCGCCAAGTCAAACAAGAAAAACAGACCGCGAGTCCTCGTCGACAACAAACCCTGCAGTGGTCGGCATCAGCGCGCCGGGCGCCGCAGGTCGTGCTGCGCTTCGAAAAGCCGCCGGCCTTCCTCTCGCATCGTCTCGTCCAGCTGCGCCTTGACCGATGGCAGCGCAAGGCTTCTCGCCGGATCCGCGAGCGATCGCACCGTGGATGGACGCCAAGAAGACCAGCGCTGCGCCGCACGCCGCCAAACCACCACGCTGGCGCCAGCTCGCAGAGGGTTTCTCGCTGCACGCCAGATGGTCAGCGGGCGCCGATGGCGGCATGGGCGCGACGAGCTCCGTGGCCGGCATGTCGCTATGAGGCCCAGCTATTAGGCCGGGGCGCGCCGTGAAGCATGCGGCATGAATCGCGAAATCGCTAAGTGCGCATTATGAGGGTCCATTATTAGGACATCGGCTATTAGCACACCTAATAATTGCACTATTAGCCCCTCTGAGCTAATAGTAGCACTATTTGAAATCGCTATGAGCACCTTCCTCATTATGAAGCTAATAGTTTGACCAGTGCAGCCGTGGGGGGGGGGGGGGGGTTGAGTCAACTCAAACACTCGGACCTCGGTGGGTGGCTGATGCGGTAATTAGCCGCTGTGGGCCCTCAGCAATTGCCAATGGGGATCGAGTTACTTAGACCTTACCTTGGACGGTCGCCGTAGGCGTGCCCCTTCATAAGGAGCTCCCGGATCTCCGCCGCAGTGCGGCACTCGCGGACTCGCGCGAGCTGCTTGTCCTCTGCGTTCTGGAGCTCGGTCGCGTTGCGCAGCACGTCGCCGACGCGGTCCGGCGGCAGCTTGGTTGCACCGTTCTCATCCATGTGTATGATCTCGCCCTACCTCTTACCTAAAATCCTTAGGGGGGCGGCTCTGGCCTGAGTGCCGGCCGGAGCTAAGAAACCACGGCGTGGGGTGGATGAGGGCTGTGGAAAGGCTTAGAAACGGCGGCGTGCCGCCGAATCCTGTTTTCTTAATGCCCGCAACCCACTGTAAGGTGGGGTGAGACTGGGGTGTGTGGCAGCCACGCTGGCTGTGTGTCTTGTGAGCTTGTTTTGTGTCTGTCTGTGTGTCGCTCGTGCGTGTCGTCATCATCTGATCTGTCCCGCGTCAACCCATAACGCGCTGGTGTCCAGTCCGATGTTCTTCACCTTTGAGCACTTGAGCACTGGATAGGGTCGATTCCGCATGGTACGGGACCCCTCCGATCGTCTCGCCCTCCCTCACTGGTGTGTTCATTGGGGGGGGTCATAACAAACACGGTACAGGATCGAGGTGCACGCTGCCGAGGCAGTGTCGTCCCCCCTCTCTCTCCCCGACGGCGATGGCGGCTTCACCTTTCTACCTACCTACCTGTGTGTGTGTGTGTGTGTGTGTGTGTGTGTGTGTGTGTGTGTGTGTGTGTGTGTGTGTGTGTGTGTGTGTGTGTGTGTGTGTGTGTGTGTGTGTGTGTGTGTGTGTGTGTGTGTGCTGTGTGTGCTGTGTGTACACTCACTCACTGAGGGCCCAACAGGAGAATCGTGCTTTCAGTGGGGTTGTTTGGTGTTGGGTTGTTGGGCCTGGGTTGGGTTGTTCCGCGTGAGGTTGGGTCGTCGGCGCGAAGGGTGAGGCTCGACCGCCGCCGCTCACGCCAGCGGACGGCCACCATCGGTGTTTTTGGCTTCGCCACCGTCCAATGCAAAGCGTGCGCAATGCGCTCGCCGGCATCGAGCGAGCACGCCCTGTCCGACGAGTGGCTTGCTGTGTGGACGCCTTCTTGTGGCTCTCGCCGAGAGCGTTTTGCGTCCCGGCGGGTGGGAGAATATGTGTCGTCTGATGTGTCACTGTGTGCGTCACATCGATGTGGATAACAAGCACGGTCGATCCGTCAAAGCGATACACTCGTTCCTATCAAATATTCTTTTTTCTTTTTTTGGGTCCTGTGGGCACCCTAGCAATGGCCCACAGCAGCAGCAGCAGCAGCAGCGCCAGCCGCGGATTACAACCAGGCGTCGGCCGATTAAAGAGTTCATGCGTCCTTTAAAGAATTCAACAATCAACTCTCTCGGGGTTTCGCGGCGCGATTTTTAAAGAAATCGCGCCGCGAAAAAGAAATCATAGTTGACTGGCGGGGACTGCGGGGGGATGTCTGAGGGGGAGGGAGAAGGGGGCGCCCAGTAAGGGCGCCGGCACCCCGGCGAAGAGTGAATCGTTTTTGAGGATCTATAAAAAGAAATCCCGATGGCGCCCCCCGCGCGCAGCAGCGCAGCAGCAGCAGCAGCACCGCCAGCCGCGGATTACAACCAGGCGGTCGGCGTCGCGGTGGACGCGCTGCTCGAGCGGGCGCCGAACCCGCGCCGCTGCGAGAGAGGCGAGGTCTTCAAGGGCCCGGTGACCGTGCTCGTAGATGTGAAGGACGAGAGCGGCGCAGTGATCGGTCAAGTCGAGCGCCCCATGACGCTGTCGGACGCGAAGAAGGCGAAGGGCGGCTTCCACGCCAGGGTCCAAGCCATCAACGCGTGGCTCGCCGCGGCGCATCCCGATGTACCGCTCATCCCCGAGTACTGCGCCGGCTGGGCCGTGCCCGGCGTCTACCTGCGGACCGACAAGGACGGCAAGCGGAAGGACGAGTGCATGGCGGACTTTCCGTCGGAGAAGCGGTGGAGCGGCGAGTGGTGGCGCTTCTGGCGGGAGCACATCGAGCCGGCGATCGCCGGCAAGGTTCCGGGACCCCCGCGCAAGTCGGTGTACCGGAAACTGTCCGATCTGCGGGAGGGTCCGGCGCCGGCGCCCGAGAGTGCAGATGCGGCAAGCGGCCGCAGGGCCAAGCGGCAGAAGCTGGGCCCGGCCGCGTCGGCAGGTGAACGTTTCAGCCCTGCTCGCCTGTAGATGAGCCTGTCGCCTGCTAACGTCTGACCTGGCGCGCAGGCGCGGCCGGCAGCCATTCGGCAAGCGCGGCCGAGCTCGTGGGCGCCGTGGTCCCGGTGCACGGGCCCGGTGAGGCGGAGGGCTTGCGCTTGCACCCGCCGGCGCCGGCGCAAGCGGCGGTGGCGGCGGCGCGGGCTGAGCGGGCCGAGCCGCCACCCGCCGCCGCGTCCCCGCGGCGCCGCACCAAGGCCGGCAGCGGCGGAGGCGGCGGAGGCGGCGGCGTGAGCGGGAGCTGCAGCGGCGGGAGCGGGAATGGCGCGAGCGTCGGGAGCGGCGAGAGCAGCGGAGGCGGCGAGTACGAGGCTCCGGCTCCTCCTCCCCCAGCGGTGGTGGGGGCGGCGAGGGCAGCGGAGGCGGCGGCGGAGGCGGCGGAGGCGGCGGAGGCGGCGGAGGCGGAGGAGGCGGAGGCGGCGGAGGCGGCGGAGGCGGCGGAGGCGGCGGAGGCGGCGGAGGCTTCGGAGGCGGCGGAGGCGGCGGAGGCGGCGGCAGGACAGCAGGCTGCGCAGGAGCCGCTAGTCGCCGAGGCGGAGGGCCTGCGGCTGCACCTCTCGAGCAGCAGTGCCACCGGGTACAAGGGCGTATCAGCGCAGCGCGGTGTGTATGGCTCGCGCTTCCGGGCGAAGCACAATGTGGACGGTAGACAGGTCTGCTACGGCTACTTCGGCACGGCAGTGGAGGCGGCGGTGGCGTACGCGCGGGCGGTCGGGGAGTACCAGCCTCCGGCTCATCCTTCTCCGGCGGTGGCTGCAGAAGCGGAAGGCTTGAGATTGCACCTCTCCAGCAGCAGAGCCACCGGGTACAAGGGCGTGCAGCAGTGCCCCTCCGGCCGCTTCACGGCGGGGCACAATGTGGACGGTAGACGGGTCTGCTACGGCACCTTCGACACGGCAGTGGAGGCGGCGGTGGCGTACGCGCGGGCGGTCGGCGAGGCGCCGGGCCAGGCCGAGGTGGCGGCAGCAGCGGCGGCGAGGGCAGCGGAGGCGCAGGCTGTGGAGGCGGCTGGCAGCGCAGCGCGAGCCGGGTGCCCTGTCCAGGACACGTCCACGACACGTCTTGGCCATGCCCCGTAGGCAGCCAAGGCGATGCGCGTCGAGCAGCGGAGGCGGGCCGCAATCGAGGAAGGGAGGCCCAGAAGCGGAGTACATCTTCTCGTATCCCAACCAGCGCTCGAGAGGACACGTACTCAGCCGCATTCGGCCTTGTTCCGCTGCTTTCGCTGTGCTCGTAGCCCCTCGTATTCACGCGGTGCTACGAATGCACTGCACGAGACCGTCCTCCCGCCTCGAGGTTGCGTGTTCGCCACGTAGGACCAGAGGCGACTCTTCGAGGAGGTGGAGACACACGCACACGCGCGCGCACGCGCACACGCACGCGCACGCGCACACACGCATCGCTCACCCACGCGCACCGGGCCTTGCACTTTGAATGCCGTGGGGCTCCTGTCTTCTAGACGTGGAGTCGCGAGGGCTGCCCCCCCTTGCCCCACCACCCTTGTGTGTGGAGAAGTTTACCTTACCTCACCTTACCTAGGCGGCCAGCCGCCAGCGCCAGCCCCAGGCGGGCGGGGGCGGTGGGAGCGGCGGAGGGGGAGGGAGCGGCGGCGGGAGCGGTTGCGGCGGCGGCGGCGGCTGCGGTGGGTCCAGCAGCGGCGACGCAGGGTCGAGCGGCGGCATCGTCGACGTCGATTGCGCGGTGGACGCTCTCGTGGCGGCGGTGCTCGCTGGAGCCCCCCGCGCTGTGCAGGACCCTTGGGGCTGCTTTGGGCTGCAGCGGTTGACGGGCCGCGAGGCGAGCCGGAAGCGGTACCTGCAGCTGGTGCGGCGGCTCCACCCGGATCGGTGCGGCCACCCGCGCGCCGGAGAGTGCTTCGCGCTCGTCGAGGAGGCGTGGCGTGCCATCGAGGCGCACGGGGAGGGCGGAAGGAGCGCCGGATAGCTTCGGCGACGTTCACGTACCGTTTACCCCGAAAGTGGCCGCTGGGGCGCGTACTGAGTTGCCACACAGCGGTTGCTGTCCGCAGGGCTGTTGAGACTGTTGAGTGTTTTCTGGAGAAACGGTGTCACTGAACATCTTATGCGCCATGCGACACACATACCGCTGACACATACCTCACACGTAAGACGTGACACGCGACCCCCATCAGCAGGCTGGAGCCGAGCAGGAGGGCCCGGCGCACAACCCCCTGGTCAACTCATCCTCCACACCCCGTAGATAGGGTCGATTCCGCACACGCTAAGGGACCCCTCGATCGTCTTCGCCCTCCCTCGCTGCTATAACAAACACGGTACAGGATCGAGGTGTGCACACCGCTGCACTCGTGCTTTTAATGCCGTGGGGCTCACCTGTCGTTCGTACACGTGGAGACGCGAGGGTCGTTTTGTGCAACTGACACCGAACCGGGGATGAGCGCGATTTCCGGCCCCGCAACAGGGCATGCACAGCGCCGCTCCGCTCCGCGCGCACCTCCAAGGTGAGCGCTGAAGGCTCGCACGGAGCGGGCCGACGAGGGCGGCACTCACGCGGGCTCCTGCCGAGCAGGGCTTCTTTCCGCCTTGGCGCCGTCCTGTCCCACACACGCTTCTGCGCATTCATGCTCATCTGCGCGCGTGCGTCGCATCATTCAGAAGGCCATCCAGCCTCCGTCCACCATCAGGTTGTGCCCGGTCTGGTACGAGCCCGCCTCGTCGCTCGCCAGCCAGCACACCGCGCTCGCAACATCGGCGGGCGTGCCGAGCCGCTTGCACGGCGTCCTGTCGTACGAGTACTGGGACACCGGACGCGCCGCCTCCTTCACGATCTTACCCGGCGCGACGCCGTTGCACGCGATCAGCTGCTCGGCGTAGTCGACGGCGATCTGCTTGGTCATGTAGACGGCGGCGGCCTTGGAGGTGCCGTATGCGAGGTTGCCCGGGCACGCCACCATGCCGTGCTGCGAGGTGATGTTGATCAGCTTGCCGCGCAAGCCCGTCTGTGCGCGCGGCTCTTGCCGCAGGAACTGCTCGACGGCAACCTGCGCGCCGAGGAAGTAGCCGAGCGTATTGACGCGGTGCACGCGCTCCCACTGCTCCAGCGTGGTCGAGGTCAGCTGCTGCGGCAAGCTGTGCGGTGGGTCGGTCAGGTCCAGCGCGGCGTTGTTGATGAAGACGTCGAGCCGACCCCACCTATTCGCAATCCTGTCACGCTCGCTGGCCGTGAGATACCTTCCTGGTGCCACTAAGAGACATCGACGCGGCCACCGACGCACCGCCATCGCGACAGCTCCCGCCACGTCCGCACGTTCGGTCACGTCGCCGCGCACGAACAGGACCTCGCCGCCCGAGCCTGCAGCAGCGTGCTCCTCCGCCGCCGGCACGCCCCCTTCGAGCGGCGACTGCCGCGTGTCGAGGCAGACCACGCGGCACCCTCTGGCCGCCGCAGCGAGCACGATCCCCCTGCCGATCCCCGACGCGCCTCCCGTCACGGCCACCACCAGGCCCGCGCAGCCCCCCTGCACCGCGCGGCCCTGGTGCCCGGCAGGCAAACTCCCCTCCTGCGGCGGCGGCGATGTCGACGACGGCGACGGCGACGCGACCGACAGCGGCAAACTAGCCGACAGCGGCGGGTTGACCGGCGGCGTCGCCTCTGCCGCCGCCTCCGCCTTGAGCCATGCCAGGTACTCTCGCATCGCAAACGGCAGCGGCGTCGCCTCGAAGCCAAACTCCTCGCGCATCGCCTACACAGGAATGATCCGAGAAGGCTCCGAGAAGGTTCCGAGAAGGTTCCGTTGTGCCACACCGCGCCTCGACGCACATCCGCCGGGTACGCAACCAGTGATCGGGCGCGAGCGTGCGCACCACGTAACCGGCCTAAGCGACATGTCCAGGACGCGTCCAGCCGGTAGTGGCCGGGCGGCGCGCACGCAAGACACTGCCGGCCTTGGCGGCCTCCCCGCCGCCTCCGGGAGGGAGGAGCTCGACACGCGAGCCGAACCGGCCGCGAAACTGCTCGAGCAGCGCCGCCTCGTCGGTGGCGTCTGTGAAGGCCTCGCCGACGAGGGATGCAACAAGCTCGCCGTGCGGCACGCAGCGGCCGATCGCGAGCTCGTATAGGAACCGACGGGGCGGCGAGCCGGCGTCGAGCAGCGCGACCACGCCGCGCGCGGCGCTCGGCGCATCGATGTAGTCCCACCCGACCTCGCGCAAGCTCGCAGCCTCGATGACGAGGGGCTCGCCCCGCACGGCGCGAGTGGCGACCTGTTCACAGCTGGAGGTGTGAAGAGACGCTGTTCACACCATGAGGAGCCCCGCACAGCGCGAGTGGCGACCCAGTACGGCGCGTTGTGCCGGTTGCGCGCGCCCGTGTCGCGGTCCATCGCTCCTAGGAGCGGACGCGTCTGTGTGCGTCCTGCTCGGGACGCTCGTGTCATGCCAGTCGTGGCCTCGGGCCGTCTCGGGCCGTCTCGGGTGATCTCGGGTGCTCTCGGGTGCTCTCGGGCGATCTCGGGTGATCTCGGGCGATCTCGGGTGCTCTCGGGCGGTCACCGTAGACATCCGAGAAGCGAACTGCGACGGAGCAGACCTCGGGGAAGATGCCCCTCCAGTGCCGGACCTGCGCTTCCGCCGCGAGCTTCGAGAGCGGGTACGAGGCCACGGCTGTGGAGTCGGTGAAGGACGGTGAAGGACGGTGGGGGTGTCGACTCTTTCATGGCTTCTGGTCAAAGAGCCACTGAAACGACCTCCATGCAATACGCATCCTCGTCCCCCGCACAGGAGGGGGAGGGGAGGGGAGGGGGGGAGGGGGCCGGGGGGGGGGGGGGGGCCAAAGCGCCCACCCCTGGGGTGTCAGGGCTGCTGTACTCCGCGCCGCCGATCGGAGGCGCCGAGAGGACGCCGTCGCTCGACACGAGCAGGAAACGCACGAGCCTGGGGCAGCAGCGGCGCGCGAACTCAAAGGCGCGCAGCACGCCTACGCACGCGATGAAACGGAAATCGATGCACCTGTAGTAGCGCGCGATGAAAAAGAAATCGCAGCACGCCTACGCACGAGGCGCGCGCCGTAGCGAAGGGGGGAGGCCCTGCGCGAGCGGCAGGGGCGCCAGCAGCAGCAGCACGCCCAGAAAGTTGACTCGCGCGACCTCGAGGCCGAGGGCAGCCTCCTCGGGCGGGGTGGGAGTGATCGCCGCGCCGGCGACGATGTGGCTGAAGCTGGCGCCGTGGGTCGCCTCGAGCCGCTTCCAGCTCGCCGCGTCGCCGACGTCGCCCGTGAAGAGCTCCAGCCGCCGCGTCGCGAGCCTACGTGCTGAGTACACCAACCTCAGGGCGGGAAGACGGTACTGGGCAGTGTCTTCAGCGCAGTGGAGTACGTGTCCTCTCGAGTGCTGGTTGGGATACAAGAACACGCTGATTCCGCTTCTAGGCTCGCGAGCAGCGGCGCGAAGAAGCGAGACGCCGCGTCGGGAGGCGCCTGCTGCCTCGGCCGCGGCGCGGCCATCTTGTCGAACACGACGCAGCTGCCGCCCGGGTTCGCGGCGAGCCAAGTGTGGACCACGTGCGACAGCACGAACCCCCCCCCGCCGGTGACCAGCAGCCGAGGGCCTAGCCGAGGGGCGGGCGGCGGCGGCCCAGGGGCGGGCGGCGGCGGCCCAGGGGTGGGCGGCGGCGGCCCAGGGGCGGGCGGCGGCGGCGCCGCCGCTGCGGACGGACGCGGCGGCGCGGCCACACGGCGTGAGGGGGAGGCGGCGGCGCTGTGCGGAGGTGGATGGAGAGCCATCCAATACTCCGCGATCTGGGAGCGCCTTGCGACCCAGACACGGCCCTCGCGCCTAACCTCGGGTCCTCTCGGGTCCTCTCGGGTCCTCTCGGGCCCCCTCTCTGGTGGCCCAGACGCGGCCCTCGCGCCCGAGGCTGTCGAGGCGGTCGAGCAGCGCGCACAGCCCTTGTATGCGGGCCTAGAAGGTTCCTAGAAGGTTCCTAGAAGGTTCCTAGAAGGAGGGCGAGCAGCCCTTGTATGCGGGCCGGGTGGCCGATCAGCCGCGGGTGAAGCCCCACCGAGAGCATCCGAGCCTGGCCTGTCGCCTCGGCCTCGGAGAGCAGCTGGTCGACGGCGGCGCTGCAGAAGCTGAGGAAGTCTTGCGCCGTCGAGAAGGCGCGGCCGGGCGCAAACTTGGAGTCGTTGGTGCAGAGGGTGTACGGCAGGACGAGGTGCGGCGCGACCCGCCCGTCCGGCAGGGCGACCTGCGTCCAGCATCGCCCGAGATGACCAAAGATGATTCGAGATGCTCCTTACCCGAGATCAACCGAGATGACCCGAGATGACCCGAGATGACCCGAGATGACCCGAGATGACCCCAAGGCGACCTGCGTCCAGTATGGCAGCTCGTCGTTATACGCGTCGCTGTCGTACAGGAAGCCGCCATGCTCAACCAGCAGCCTGCGTGTGCTCTCGGACGGCGCCGTGCGGCAGTACCAGCCTCGCGGCGGCACACCTGTTATAGTCTCGGGGCCATCTCGGGTACTCTGGGCCATCTCGGGTGGCCTCAAGGCAGTACCAGCCACGCACCGAGGCTTGCCGTCAGGCTGGCGACGGCCTGCGCGATGCGAGACTTCTCCTCCTCCTCTCGCATGCCGGCGTGGTCCTCCCAGCGGTAGCCGTGGCAGCACACGTCGAGCAGCCCGTCCGCCACGCCCGCCCGCACCGCCGCCGCGAGCTCACTCAGCCGCTCGAGAGCGAGCGCGCACGCAAAGGCGGTGGCGGGCAGTCCGCGCGACCGGAAGGCGCGCAGCACACGCCAGACGCCCACGCGCGAGCCGTACTCGAACATCGACTCGGCAGCCAGGTCGCGAACGCCCGGAGGCGCATCGGACGGGCACTCGCAGAGCGCGGCGGTGGAGGCACGGTCGCCGTCGAGCACGTTCGGTTCTGAGCCCTCTTCGATGTTGATTGCAAAGTTGACGGCAAGGCGGGCACCGTTCGGCCAGGTAAAGGCTGGCGGCGTTGAGCCGTAGCCAACGAGGTCGCGCTTCGGGCGGAGGTCGCGCTGAGGCGGCTTTGGACGCCGTTGGCGTCGGCGGAGCGCAAAGGCGGTGAGAGCTGCCGCTGCTGCTGCCACGGCCACGAGCGTTAGCGGCGAGGCGGCCGCTGGTGGCATTGGATGGTGGGCTGGCGAGGCCGACGTCGAGAGCACAGCCCGACACTGAGAGCACGGGCGACCGTTGCGACGACGACGAATTTTGTTTTTTTCGGAAGAAGACATGAGTAGGTTCGGGTTTGGGTGTTTTCAGTGTGTTTGAAGCGAGCCAGCCTGTGGCAGAACACTTCGCTTCGCGCTGCAGCGCTTGGGCCACCGCCCTGGCCATGTACGAGCTTTTGCCGGCCACGGCGGCTACCAAGAGGATGGGCCCGGGCTCTGGCGCCGCGAGCACGGTGCCACCTCGACGTGAGTAGGCCCTGAAGCCGCCCGGCGCTCGCCGCGCTGCCCACGCCAGAGAGTGGCTTGCTGCCGCACCACCTCTCGTGACTGTACTAGGCGGGACGGAGGTCGACACTGGTCAGCACCGCGGCTGGTGACGCCGCGAGGCGCCCGCCAACTCTCGGCGACGGTGAGACGATGCAAGATGCAGCTCTCGGCAGACGTCGAGGCGCTCGAGCTGCGGTGCAACGAGCCGCTCCGCTCCCGTACGACCCGCTTGTACAGTGACAAGTGTGTGTGGCACGGTTCGCTCCCGTCTACACGCTCGACTTCCTCACCAGGGTGCGCCGCTTGCGCGCACGCACACCGTTTGCCCGCCGCACACGCGCACCCTGCCACAGACACGTCGATGTCGCGCACTGCTCAGGTGGGGCAGACGTTCCCAGGCTCGACGCCTGGGAGTGTTGTCCTATCATCCGCGCTCGTCGGCGACTCGACCGACTTCCCCAGCGAGAGTGTTGCGAGCAACAGGGTCGCCTCGGCGGCTTGAGCTGCGCAGCGACAGATCACTCCTCACCAGGCAAGCTGCGGCCCGGACGGCCGCGTCTCGTAGTTGCACACCTGTGGCGACTACGTTCCCGCGGCGGTGACAATGTCCCGTGTTGACGACGGGAGACACTGGTGTCACGCGCCGGGTTGCTTGCGGCTCGGCGCGCGCGCCGCCGCGCGTGGCGGCCGCGTGAGGCGTTGCACACCCTCGTTCGGGCGTGTGTCGTGGCTGTGTTATGTGTGTTTGGTAGATTTTGTCTTTTTACAATGGGTACTCATGGGGAATGATCGCTGGCAAAAAATAAAGAAGTGGGCGAATGGTCAAAAATGCGGACGTCCACACCGCAGGTTTCGCGCGAACCCACCGCGCATCACGGCCGCTGATATCCAGCGAGATCTCGGCTGCTCTCCATGGGATGGGGTTCAGGTGCGGGCAAGGGCAAGATCCTTGCCCCCGCTGCCGGCGACCTGGTTCACGTCAGCGTCCGCAACCCGTTTGACAGCAGGATGGTGCTTACCGACATCTCGGGCCTCGCACACAGGGCGTCGAAGAAGCAGCCGAAGCAGGTGGCGCAGGAGGCGACCCTGTTGCTCGCAACACTCTCGCTGGGGAAGTCGGTCGAGTCGCCGACGAGCGCGGATGATAGGACAACACTCCCAGGCGTCGAGCCTGGGAACGTCTGCCCCACCTGAGCAGTGCGCGACATCGACGTGTCTGTGGCAGGGTG